TTTTTTTTTTTATTCAAGGTCTCGGTGCAAGAAGGAGGAGACAGGAGGAGGAGGAGGAGGCGGGTGGGCAGCGCTCCGGCACGTCGCTCACGTCGCACATGGCTCGGGCTCTCCTCCCCCCGCCGCCGCCGGGGATGCCCGCGCCGCCTCCGCGCCGCTCCGCGGCCGCGCAAGCTCCGCGCAAGCCCGGCCGGCGCTGCAAGCGCCCGCACCGACAGCGAAAAAAAAATAATAATAAAAACCCCCACATTCTCTCCAATTTCGTGGTCCCCACGATGCCCCTTAGCCTCATTCTAAGGCTGAAAAGATGCTAGATGCATCCAGCTAGAGGCTAGAAAAACGAAGTGATGCTGAGGAGCCTCTTGGGCCCTTAAAACATTCTCCTGCGTGGGGGTTTCTCCCACTCCTTGAAGCAAAGGCTTCTATTTTTACCGCACGGATAGAACGTGCATTTGGCTCTATATCCTTATAGGGAGCCCACATGGATAGGAGTGCAAAAAAGAAAAATACATCATCCTTCCTACACAGGGAAATCTGTATTCACCAGCAGAAAGAAGGGAGCTGGATTTCACAGATGATGGGAGAGGAAGTGGGTGAGAGCAGAGAGGGGGGGTCAACCCGCTAGACGCCAAATACGGCTCCTTATGGACCCGCGATGGTGTCTGCGGCGCAGAACGTATTTTAGCAGACAGGCGAAGACTTTCCTCTGTGCATCGGATAGATTTGGGGCGTCAGGTTTTGCCCACGGGAGGCCAGCGGGCTCCAGTTGCTGTTTTATGGATGCCACCTCCGAAGGCAGTGGATGAGGGCGAATGCATCTGCCCTGGATCAGCTCCCACTGGGATATTCGGTCCCCACTTTTAGGAATGCAAGGAGAGGAGGCAGGTTCAGGCCACAGGGCATCGCGTGCGGGCATTCCCTTTCCTTCCTCGTCTCTGCAGGTTTTCTTGGAAGACTCCGCAGCAACCCACAAGACTCCCCCCTCCCCCGCTCCCCTTTCTGAATACGAAAGTGAAACTCGAATTAAATTCACCGAAATAAATTCACCGTCGCTTCGAATTAGATCCACCCGGCTAATCTGTGGCTCAGAACGCCCAAGTAACTGGAGCGTGAAGCGAGGCCGCGCTCCCACTCCCGCATAAGTGGCCTGATTTGCACGAGCCCCCGGCAGCTGCGAGGAAGGTCGCGGTGAGGAAGCTCATTACTATTTATTAGGCACTTTCCCAGCGGCACCAGGATGGCCTGGCAGGCAGGACGGTGCTAGGTGCAATTTTTTAATATATATTTTATTTATATATTTTGGGGGTAAATCCTTCTCTGTAAAAACCCTAGTTCTCTATATATAAACCAAAAAGGCTAAATTGGTGTTTATGGAGTTATTATGAGGCCTGACGGGTTTGGAAAGCAGTGTCCCAAAGGGAGCAGTGCCCGGCGGAGACACCAGTGATGCTCCTCAGCATCCCAGGGCTGGCGCCGGGTCGGAGAGACCTGGAGCAGCATCCAGGGCATGAGCAGCCTCATGGTTTATGGGGTTTGTAGGGCAGGGACTTCTCTGATACACAAGTCAAAGACACATGTTCAATTCTCCACTTCATTCCCCCTCTTCGCAAAGACCCTCTAATACCAGCAGGAACCATCCAGCCTTCCTGGCTTTAATTCCCATGGCATCAACACAAACAGGGAACAGCAACACGGGCTCCAGGGAATGCCATCTGTAAATGAACCATGGCCCACTTTTTCTTTTTTTTCTTCTTCTTTTTCCCTCTAAAGCACAAATCACATGCACCACCATGTCCTGCCATCCAGGAGGTGAAACCAAGAAGTGAAACCAGGGATCCTTTCCTTATATTGTGGCCTCAGAAGCACAAGGTACACCGGCAGCTTCCAAAAAGCACCAAAAAGCAATGCAATAACTGCATTGCAACACGTGCTACATATAAACGTATATATATATGTATAGGATATGTATATATATGTATGTATACTAACTATTGCCACAGAGCAAGCTATTTGCATGGGGTAATGGAGGGGTATTTATGTGTATATTTGAAAGTCTGTTCATCTCTTTGCACTTCCAGAAAAAAAAAAAAAAAAAAAAAAAAAAAAAAAAAAAAAAAAGGCAAAAAAAGTCAACAGGGCCCTGGGTAAACAAGGCAAATTGCCCACAACATCTAGAGAGAAACCAGGACTTCGGAAAGGCCAGCGAGGAAGCAGAGCGGCAAGCGGCTCTTGCTCTCGCCCACAGACTGGGCTGTTTTCAGGTCAGCCTTGGGAAAACAGCTGCAGTTCTTGATCCGCTGGGTATTTGCGCATGTGAAACTGTCCCGGAGCGGGAAGTGCAACAGGAGGGTAAATAAAACGTGGGAGGATGGCCCTGGCCGGCAGCACGTCGGGTGGCTCTAGGGTGTACAAACCGTGCGTGTTGGGCATGGAGCTGCTGCAGCTTCTCCTCTTACCCTCTCCGGTTTCTCTCCCGCCCCGCGCCGGACAGCTTGTCCTCGCCTCCAAGGCGGGATGCACGGCAGAGGGACAGGGACATGGGCAGAGGGACAGGGACATCGGGTGCTCCGAGCTATCAGGATGGGGTGCAAACGACAGAGGAAATCCCCCCGCTTGGTTCCCGGTGCCGGGGACTGGCAGTCCGTGTTTGCAAGCATCGCATGTGGTAATTGGAGCCTATGTGCTCAGCAAATGTCTTCCTGCTCTTGTGCCAAAAGCTTTTCCTTAACAACAAAATTTATTTACTTATTTATTTATTTAATTAGTTAATTAATTAATTAATTAATTCAGAAGAACATGGGGTTTAAGCCTTGCTAGCAGCCAATGTAGTGCAAGAGGCTTTGCAAATCTCCTTGGGATTCATGGTGGGGAAAGTGGCGCTAAGGACGGGAACAGCGTTTCTGGAGAGACCTGGGCTGATGCGACGCACAGCAAGGGATGCACAACCAGGGGATCAGCTTCAGTACCCTCGGAAAAGGCTATCCCGGAGCATCCAACATGTGGCAGATAAAACATATTCCCCAGTAGCATAGGAGCAAGTCAACACATCAGCTCGAAGGAGCTGCTAAAAACAAAAAAAAAAAGCACACAGAAATACTCTGAGCCTCCAGATTTCTGCCTTAGCTAAAGACCGGTGGTTACAATGAAGTGAATGGCACTGCTAGAGGTGTATTGGAGATGCATTGCCTGCATGTCTGGCCATGACTATTAGGTGGGAGACAGAAAGAAGGATGAGAGTTGGATTTAACCACAGTTCTCCATATTAGAACTAAAAATGCCCCAGGATCCCTCAAGGGCCCCTGGAGAGCAGTGGGTGCTGCAGACTGTGGCCAAATCTTGGAGCGGCCTCACTGGTAGATGGGAAGACCCACGCCACATGGTCCAAAGGCAAAGAGGGGGGATGTAATACGGGCTTCCAGCAGCAAGAGAGCCCCAAAGGAGCCTCCCAAACCTTCCTTCCTAATTAAAAGCTTAAGCAGATAGTAAGGTTTCCCCGTGGCTTCCGAAGGAGACAGTATCATCACTATCATCAAACTCTGGCTAGTAGCCTTCAGGGAGCTCCAGATGCAGGCTGATTGGGGAAATATTGGTGTCACTGATGTGACCATGACTTCTGCAATAGATTTCAAGAAGGTGAGGAGTTTGGTCTTGTGTTTGGACACCCCCAAGGAGCAGAGAGGAGTATTATCCGGTCTGAAGGACATGAAAAGTAATGCACGTCTCTGCAAGCCTTCTGCTCTGCACTTCCATGTGTGTCCACCACTCTTTGTATGTGATTCGAGTTGCACCTCTGATGCC